TTTTGTGTAAGGATTAAAGGAGGTTATAATATAAACTGCCAAGCACTGTATCCAGTTAATAATAATGTTTCAGGGCTGGGGATTTAGCTCAGTGGTGCCACTGCCTGCCTTGCAAGCTCAAGGATCTGATAAATTAAATAAATAAATAAATAAATAAATAAATAAATAATTTTTTATTTCAATGCCTTCTGCTTCACCCATCTAAATAGCCCTTTTAGTTACTTTTTAATTTCTTCAGTTAATTTCTTCAGTAATCATTCTCCCCTCAAGTTGAGATACTTCTTTATTTAAAAGCAAAAGTTTGGCCAGTTACCTTAAGGGAAATTCTGTTTGTTCTATTTCTTTTCCCAGTAGTTCTGGGAAAGTAGTTCCTGTCAAGTAATTCTCCAAAAGTGGGGTTTTCCCCGCTTCCCTTTCACCTTTTTACAAAAGATGTAAGGAAAACTCTGTCAGTCTTGACAGAATAAATGACAGCTGGTGTTTGAAGTTGACTCTTTCCAGATAGTTCAGTTTTTAGAGTACTGAATATATTCATCTTTATATAGTAACTTGGCATTTCATGAAATTTAAGGAAATCATTGACCCTTCAAATTACAGTGTATCTCCTACTTTCTTTTCTTCTTGGGATGATGAAAAAATGATAGTTCTACACTATCTGGTTAAATACCACAAGGTATAATTTCCCTTTCAAGAAAGTTTTCCAAAGTTATGTGAAGATAGATTCATTATGTAATAGTCTCCCTTTAAAAAAAAAAGTTACTCCTATTTCCCTCCCTCAAATTTATCAGAATGAGCTCATATAAAGAAGAGTAAAAACCTTGATTAAAAAAATATTGCAAGCGCAAGGGCTCAAGTTTGATCCCCGATACCAAATAAATAAATAAATAAATAAATAAATAAATAAATAAATAAATGTTTCTGCAAACTAAGAGTAGTAATTGGCTACAAACATAGAGGTAAAAAAGTTAAGTAACCATTGAAGAATTGTGTAGGTTACTTTAAGGTTTTACTTATTCATAGAAGTTTTTAGGATCAGAAAAATTGTCTCTAAAATTATATTCCCAAATCTTGAAAGCAATCTCATTTACAGTAGCCACAAGCATTAAGAAACAAATGATCCCCTACAATGAAAATTACAAAACACTGATGAAAGAAATTGAAGAAGGCACTAATCTGTGTTTGTGGGTTAGAAAAATTAATGTTATATATTACCCAAAATGATCTATGGATTCAGTCCCCATCAAAAATATCAATGATATTCTTCACAGAACTAGAAAAAAAAATAATCCTAAATTTTATGTGGGAGCACAAAAGGCCAGCCAAAGCAGTCTTGTGGGGGGGAAAAAAAAGCAAAGCTACAAGTCAAAACCTAATTTCAAGACTATAGCACCATAATAACCAAAACAGTAAGACATTACACAAAAACAGGCACATTTACCAATGGACCAGAATAGAAAACCCAGAAATAAGCCAGTGCATCGGTAGCCAAATGATTCTGAACAGAAGTGCCAAAACATGCACTGACGAAAGCCTCTTCAACAAATGATGGTCGGAAAGTTGGACGTTCGTAGAAGATTGAAACTTGCTTGACCGCTGTTTCTCACCCCGTACAAAAGTCAGCTCAAAAGGTTTCAAAGATCTTAATGTAAGACCTGAAACTCTGAAAGTCTTGGAGGAAAACATAGGTGAAGCTTTTCAGGATGTCAGTACAGAAAATGATTTTTTGGTTAGGATCCCCAAAACACAGGAAACAAAAGCAAATATTGACAAATGCAATTATATCAGAGTTAAAAACTTTATGCTGAGCCTGGTGGTACATGCTTATTATAATCCTAGCATTGTGGGAAGTTGAGACAGAGGGGTCACACTTTTAGCTCAGCCTGGGCAACTTAGCATGACCCTGTATCAAAATAAAAAATAAAAAGGGACTGTGGATGTAGGTCAGTGTGAAGGCCCTGTGTTCCATCTCCAGAGTTGAGAGTAAGGGAACCTTCTGCACAGCAGAGAAACAGCATACAAAATGGGAATTGACATTTGCTAGCTATTTATCTGACAGAGGGTTAATGTTCAGATTATATGAGGAACTCAATGCACTTAACAACTTTTTTTTAAAAAAGCTATCCAGTTTAAAAATGGGCAAATGATTTGAATAGGCACTACCGAAAAAACATACTCATGGCCAATAAAAATATGAAGAAATGTTCAGTATCATTAACTATCAGGAAAATGCAAATCAAACTGCAGTGAGATATCATTTCACCCCAGGCAGAGTAGCTGTTATCAAAGAAAGAAAAAAGAGAGAAAAGGGAAGGTAGGAAGAGGGAGAGGGAGAGACAGAATAAAAAATGCTATGTGTGAAGGGGCCGGAGGTTTAGCTAGGTGATTCTGTTGCCTGCCTCGCAAGCACAAGGTACCGAGTTGGATCCTTGGCACACACACAAAAAAGAAAAAAAATGCTATGAAGCTGTTTGTTGGAGATAAAGGAACATTTATACATTTATTTTTGGTAAGAATCCACTGGTATATAGAACCAACAGCCTGGTAGTTCCTCAGAAAACTAAAAATAGGGCTACAATGTGATCTCATTTATCACAGTCCTAGGTGTATATCCAAAGGAAATAAAATAAACATATAAAAGAGATACCTACATGCCTATGTTTATTATGGCAGTATTCACAGTAGCAAACACATGGAATTAGCCTTGGTTCTATCAGAAGATGAATGGATGAAGAAAATAATATTCTATTTATACTCTTCAGCTACAGAAAAAAATGAAATCCTGTTAGTTGAGGCAAAATGAATGGAACCAGAGGACATAGTGTTAAGTGAAGCAAGCCAGATGCAGAAAGACAAGTACCACATGTTCTCTCATATGTGAAAAATAAAAAAAAACTTTTACTTGCGAGTAGAAGAGAAATCACTAGGAACTGGGAAGACTGCCAGGGTGGGTGCAAGGGAGAGAAATTTTGTTGGATATGATCGAGGCACACTGTATGCAAATGTGGGAATATGACACTAAATTTCATTCATGTGTACAGTTAATATGTGTTAATGAAAAATTAATTCCTGGACCCCTGTGCTTTATCACTGACTTGTGATGAGTCTTATGACACCAAGTCTTTCTTACGTTGTCATTAATGTTGACATTATAGAGGGGCAAAATTCTCAAGTTAAAATGGCATCTGTGTTTCTTTGTTCTGAAGAGAAATTGCAACCAGAAGTCTTTTAGAAGATTATTCATTCATTCAATAAACACTAAACTAAAAAAATTTAATAAAAATAAATTTATAAATATTGGCACTATTCCAATTTAGGTGTACCACGATTTAAAAAAAAAAAAGGTGGATAAAACTGTTATCTTTGTAAAATTTTTGTCCTTGTAGAGAGACAGTCAATAAATGAGTAAGTGGAATATATAGGATATCATTGGTAGAAGGTTTTATGGAGAAAAACAAAGGAAGGAAAAGAAACGCAGGAGGTCTTAGCAGGGACGACTGACCATCATGAAGACCAGGGTTTATTGGGCTAAGAGGAGAAACTGCCAGAGCGTTTTGAGAAAAGGAATGGTGTGCGCTGATGCGCATTTTATCCTGATCACTGGGGTTGTGCTTTGGAAGAGAAACTGTCTTAGGGCTCAAGGGAGAAATGGGAGCCACTCAGGAGACAGCTGCCGGAATCTGGGTGGGAGGTAAAGGTATCAGGATCACGATGGTGAGAGTAGAGGAGGTAAGAAGTGGCTGAGCTCAGGGCAGAATCCAGACAGGGACCGGACCGTAGGATGTGCTGGTGACCATCTGGGGTCCCCACGTGTTCCGGCTCAGGGTGGTGTGAGAGAAGAATGGCGGTAAGCCCCTTCTCTGCTTCTGGGAACAAGCTGGAAACAGTTGACAACTTTGTGGAATGACTGGGGAATGTTCATTTTACATATTTTATTCTGACAGTGCTCAGGTTGCAATTTCTCTTCAGTGCTTATTCAAAGAAGCAGATTTTGTTGCTCTTCAGAATACTTAAGGTCAATATATGGTATCTTTAAACAAAAAATACAGAGTAATGATAAAAGATGAACAACAGGAGAATAAGCATGTCAGCCTTAGTACTTTTAAATAAAGGTATATGTTTACTGTTAAAGATAAGAATGATACTTTGTTTCAGTGAAGTCAGACCGTGTTTCTTTGAAAACTCACGAAGACTATATACTTTGGACCTGTTCAGTAGCCTGCTATATTTAGTTGTGTATTTAGCTCTCTAGATAAGAACAAAGATTAATGACTTCAAGTATAGTGTAACAGGTTTTTGTCCTACTACCCTTTTTCCAGGCCTGGGGTGCAGCTCACTGGTAGAGGGCTTCCTTAGCACTTTCCAGGCCCTGGTTCAACCCTAGCACCCTTCCCCCCAAAAGAGAAAACAAACCTTCCAGTTCCTAATGAAGTCTGGTATCTAAAGGTACTTTTGCTGTGTAAAGCTCATAGCAATTAAATTGTGTATATACATGAATCAAATAAAACAACTGAACATATTCTTTTGAATTTATGATTAAATATTTAAAACATGGAAATTATTAAGATATATCTTGAACTCCTGTGTGTCTGCCTCTCTAGTTAAGAAATAAAGGAGGCCAGGTGTGGTGAATGCCCGTAATCCCAACACTTGGGAGGCTGAGGCAGGAGAGTCACCGCAAGTTACAGCCCAGCCTGAACTATATAGTGAGAAGAAGGAGGAGGAGGAGGTGGAGGTGGTAGTGGTAATGGGAGGAGGAGGAGGAAGAGCAGGGAAGGGAGGGTGGGAGGGGGAGGGGAGGGGAAAGAAATGAAAGTGTACCAACAGGGCTAGAATCTTTATATGTACTGCCTCATGACCACACCCCCTGGCCTTTTCAGATGAGCCATTATACAGAATTATGTGTTTGTCATTCTCAAGCATGCCTTTGTTTTTATTATAGCCATAAATAAACATATCTGAACAATGTGTAGTAGAATGAATTTGGAAAATATTATACTCACTGTTTTGTCAGTTCTACTCCAGAATAGGCCTTGAGCTTTTCTTCTAAGTCAACATCATCTGTTACGTAGCCTCCTGATTGGTCTTCCCGGTTGTCCTCCTGTGTCTTTTATCCCATTACATTCTCCAATGTATCCAGAGCAAATTTTTATAAAACCCATACCAGGCTGCTACTGTTATGCTGACAAACCTTCAGTGATTTCCCACTTAATAATTTTCAAACTGTTTCACTTGTTTGATGATCTTGTTCTTCCTTTCTCTCCAACCATATCCTAGAGTCAGTCTTTCTCTTAATCCACTATACTTCCTTTCTTAAGATATTTTTCAAGTAGAAAACATTTATATAGTGGACCCTTGACTCACAAACTCAGTTTGTTCAAAAGGGCTGGTTGTAACTCAAGTTGGTTTTAAGTCAAGACTATTTTCCCCATAAGAAATAATGGAAATACCCATAATTTGTTCCAAACCTCCCAAAGCACCATTTAACCTTTCAATAATAAAAAGGGTTTTATAATGTTCAGAATTTACCAGAAACACCAATAATTTTCCTAGTGTAGCCACCAAAACGTTATAAAATGAGCCTGGTTTACCAGAAACCACATTTCACACTACTCATCATTCAAGTTGACAGCTTTGGCTTGTAGGAAGCGGGGATGGAATGAAAGGTGGTTATTGTTTGGAATGAGAGCCCCCTTCCATCAGAACATAAGGAATCTGGCTCTCTGGTGTCCTTTCTCTCCTTGGAAGAAACTGTAGCCCACTAGGACCTGCTTCTGGCTCAGTAGGCCTCATTGTTTTCAGAACTAAGAAGTGGTCTACGATGGTCTGTTTCTGTCTTTTCTTTAACACTGTTTAGTAGTATGATGTGACATTGTCATTCAGCAAGTTTTTCTGTCTGGGTGTGTCTTCTCTACAAATGTTTGTAGCTCTGTCCATTTTTTCAGGATTTCCTTTATTTCAGAAGAACTTTGCTACACTGATTGTTGATACTCCTCCTCTTCTTCAGAAAGCTCCTTAGCTGCGATTCTCTGTTGCTCAGCCAGAAGTTGCTGGAGCTCCTCTCTAGACAAGTCCTCTGAGTTCCTCCACCAGTTCCTCAACGTCACCATTGTCTGTCTGCACCCCTAGGGTCACTGCCATAGTGATCTCATCAATCACACAGTCAATTGAAGGCTCAGGCTCCTCTACACTGCCTTCAGCTACACTTTCTTCTAGGCAGATCTCAGTATCTTTAGAGAGACACTGACCCAGGATTTCTCAGTTAACCCCACACAGGAAAGACTGGCATTTGAGTAGTAACTGAAGACTTTGGTCATAAGTTAAAACTAAAATTCTGGTCATAACCCAAGTTTTTCATATGTCAGGCGAGTTGTAATTCAAGGATTCATTGTATTTTCTTTCCTTTTTGCCTAGAACATTTTCTTCACTCTTACCCTGGCATTGTTTTCAGTCTTAAGTTTAAATGTTACTTGCTCTAAAAATACTGTGTTGTCTTGATCACCCGTTCTTATATTTTTCTTTTCCTGATAATACCCTGTGGTTACTGGTTATTTATTTATCTATTTTGCATTGCTTCCCAAGTGTCTATTTCACCTGTTGGGTTATAAACTTCTAAAATGAAGAGCTGTCTGCTGTCTCATTTAACGTGTGGTAGAAATACAAAAAAAGTCTGTTGAAGGAAAATAGGAATGAAGAATTAGTGAATTAAATTATTTTTATCATCTTTTTAAAAATCTTTACATGCTGAAAAATACCTCTTTAATTGTACAAGAAAAACAAAAATTAATACTTTAGGAATTGCTTTCATTTTGGTTAAGATATTTTAAGAAGCAGACACCTACTCAAGTAGAAGTTTGTCATAAATACAGAGGAAATCCAGGAAAAGTTGACCAAGTTCCTCAAGGAGGACAGGCACCAGAGTAATCCCAGGCAGTCACTCTCTGAATCAGAAGTTTTCTTCTTTTCCTGACCCAGTTCTTTGTAGCTTTGTTTCGTACAGGGCCTAAAATATCTTAGAAAGGTCTACATGACATTTTAACTGTAATACCAACAACTCTCAGTAATCTCTCTAGGTATCTTTTAAATAAAATTCCTGAGAGAGAACCTGACTGGTCCAACACATATTTTAAAATAAATCTTCATGTTCATAGGTCATTGGTATGGGTCACCTCAGGTCAGTTGTGCATCTCTTGTCCAGAATACTCTGCAGGGAGCTGGACTGGAAACAATCACATGACCTATACCCACTTAACACCAACTGTATATGGAGGCAAATTTCCTGAGAGGAGTCACTGGTGGGTCAAAACCTTTCTAATACATAGGTAGTTTATGGGCTACATGAGATTCTTAGTGTTGCCTGAATGGGCAATAGGCATTTCATAAATATAATACATTTATTAATTAAAGCTGATGTGTCTCAAAAAGAAGCTATATATTTTCTCCCCATAGCTATTTATTTAATTAGAGTACAGAATGGAAATAGTTATAAAATAGGCCGTAATCTTTAAAACTAATTTGGTACTCAGAGTTGAAGTGATTGTTGTATTCTAAATCATTTTCATCTATACTTGTTGGAGTAGGATTTTGAGTAAAAGCCATTGTGATGATTAATATTGATTGTCAGTTTGATTAGCTTGCAAGGTACCTGGGAGATTCATAAAGCATAGTGGGGAGTCACTTGACTGCTCCTTTCTTCTGCTTCTTCCCCTGCTCTCTGCTTCCTAGCTGTCACGAGATGAGAGCTCTCCTCCACCATACTTCTGCCATGGTGTTTTGGCCTTGGGGTCAGCTAACCTGTACTGAAACCTCTGAAACAGCCAAAAGAAACCTTCCCTCCTTTAAGTTGGGGGTTATCAGGTATTTGGTCATAGCAATGAAAATCTAACACAAACCCATGCACCTTTAACCTGGATAAACTACTTTAATGAATAGCTGCAAAACTAGATGAGGTATTTGAATTCTTCCCTTTGTCTAGAAATTGGTTTGTGAAAACATCTTCTAACTAATATTTTTTGAAAGATCTCCACCCCATTTATTAGTAACAATGTTCCTTCACTTTATAAATTACTTATACAAAAGAGAATGAACACTATCAGAGAGTATCATCTGGAAGTAGATTGAAAGTGAGGCTTTGTATCAGAAAGAAGTTACTTGCCTTTACTATCCTGTTTTATATATACATAATTCTAACTGATAAACTCTCCGGCTTCTCTATAAGTCTCAGAGATTTGTGGATAAAATGTTATTAGGCTTTCCTGGAGAGTACTTCTGAGCTACACACTGTACTAAAAACTGCATACCTTGTTCCTCTCCAAGCAAAGTGCTGCCCTTCACATCCCTCATACAGTTGGCTAATTCAGAAATAAGTTGTTGTTTTTTTTTTAATTCGCACAGGCAGATAGTCTGATTATTTTTGTCCTTCAGCTCTATAGCAAAGAGACAGATGGTTTTGTCTCTTTTGAGAAGTCTTCATTATCATTCTCCTTTTAAGGTTGAAGCCCTGTCAGCTCTCAGCAGCAGTTTGGGTATATCATTCCAAGATTGTTCATCTCTTATCCCAGTTGCTCCTTCTACAATCTAGCAGGATTTCTCCTTGTTAAATCACATCTCCTGATGCTCCCGAGATTCTGTTCCAGATGCCCTTTTCAGGTACTTTATTATCAGCATCCAGTGTTTGGCATTTTAACCAAACAATGGTTTGACCTTTTCGTCATTTATCCAGAGCCTCTTAAATATATCTAGACATACCAGCACTGGAACTACGACCAGCTAATGGTATCTGGCTGTCAGTACTAGGATTGCTGATTGCATTGGTTAAAAGAGACATAATAGGACTTTCTGCTCTAGTTTTCAGATTGTCTCACAGAACATTCAAAAGCTCTTGTTTTTTAAAAGTCCACTTGACATTTTGCTTCTTGTTCATGTACTAGTAGTATAGCCAGTTTTTCTTTTCTTTTCAAAGTAGTAATGCCAGAAAGTTTTCCATAATTGAATAGAACAATTTTCTGCTTGTCCGCTAGCTCCTTGACTTTTTAGACTGCAAGTTGGGCCACATTATAGTATGATGGTAGATTTCTTACTTAAGACTTGGTCTACTTGTTCCACTAATATCCCAATGAAATAGGTACATACTACTTCAGATTAGTTCTCTTGGTTTGCTAATTTGATAGATTCACTCTGTTTAAAATAGCATTTTTTGGTAGAAATGCACAAATCCTTTTAAAAGGATGAAAATGCCTAGTAATACTGAAAAAAAACCACCTCTGTTTTATGTGCTCTCAATTTTCTCATTAAATACAATCCAAGCATATTTTATTTAATAATTTAAAATAAATGATAAAAATAAACATTTTAAAATAAATGACAGTGGGTTGAAGCTAATATTGCTAAATATATTTAAGTAATGTGTATCAACCTTAAAACATACTGAATTCAAGCCTCAGAAAAACATCACCTCTAAAAACCACATATTACTTTCCCTACTTACCTATCTAATTTTATGATATAATTTTTCTTCCAGATCTTTCATCCCCAAAATCAGTATAGTTGCTTCAGTTTATATCTAGTAGTGAACTGCATGGAAATTTTACAAATTCTGCCTGTTCTTTGAGAGTTTACTTATTAATATCCGAAGAACATAATGATTCAGCTGCAAACTGAAAGAAACAGTCCAGTATTCACTGTGGTTGATTAATCATAGCAGTGTCTTTAAGGATGGATAGAGTAAATTTCTTCTCCAACTCCAGTTGCCTGTTGAAGTTGTCTTGAGTAGGGTATGTTCCTCTGTGTGCCTTTGCCTCTTCCGCCTTCTTTCCAGTATAACACCTGCGTTTGTCCAGGTACTTTATGGAACCTTTCTGTGGAGCACTCCCCTCTCCTACTTAACCCTCCAAACTCTTCATCTTTTACCCTCTGCTTTTATTCCTTTGTTCTGTCATATTACTTGTGCTTCTTATTTTTATGGCTTGAGTTTCAATTATTCACTTTTACCTAATTTTATCCATGCGAATGTTCCAGATCCAACCAAAATGAAGAAGGTAAAAGAAAACTTCTTGCACTGGCCATTAAGATCTGTGATATAAAAGACAGATAAGCATTTCTTGTTGCTTTAATGACCATTTGTTGACACAACTTTGTTTTAAAAATGTCTACCTCATTTCTGTACTTAGAATTGTGTTAAAAAGACCTCTTCTGTTACCCTAGGTCAGTAGTGCTGAGTCCACCAAAAAGAAAGGCTGTATAATTCCCCAAGAAGCAGATGATAGAGGAGGAAAAATCCTGTCCTGTCTTATCTGATATCACAGTGTTTTATAAGTCCATCCATTCTTGAGACCTGTGGTATCATATATCTTTGTA